TAGCTTCTTGTGCTTATTAGTAATTACATTTGTTTGAAATTAGTTCGTGCCAAAAAGAACATACAGATATAATTTAATCAGAAAAATATTTTTGCAGTTAATGCAGATAAGTTATATGTATTTATTTTCAAGACGACGTCGTTTTAGAAATAAATGATTAGAAAATTAAAATTATAAAGACTACAACAACATTAAAATTACGAAAACACCATAATTTTCGTCTTTAAACAACATCGTATTGAGTTTACTGTAGATAACTTTATGCAATAATTGTAGAAAAAGTCAACCCTAATTTAATTTAGTTAATTTAGCCAATTTGCTTGTATCTATAATCTATTTTCAACGGTCATACGTACATGACGCAATTTATCTACACACATGCATTTGCCAATATGTGTAACATGCATAATGTAATTATGATTCATATATTTACACTTTCGGTGCACAGTATCCCTCATTTTCTTTTCCTCTTTCACATTACAGTATGGAGACCCATACACTCTAACCCTGGATATTCAACTAGAACTTGACTCCACCATCCCTTGTCTTTAATTCACTCGCAAATCTCGCCTGCAACACTTACCCCGACGGCCCGACCCTAGTCGGTATTCCACTTAATTCGCTTTTCAGTATTTTTTTTTTAATAAACTACCTTTTAAATTCTCAACAAAAATTATAGGTCCATTTTTAATCCTTAACAAAAAAAAATCAACTTGTGATTTTCTAAAATTCAAAATAGACCCAGTTAGTCGAATTTGTGATCCTCTAAAATTTTAATATCTCAAAAGAACTAATATGGATCTATTTTAAATTTCATAGAAATTACGAATCAATTTTTTTTTACTAAAATAAATAAATTAATCTCCCTGATATTTGTTGAGTATCCAAAAATTATTTTACTCTTTTTTATTTCTTTCTTTCGTCATACATGGTTTCAACACCAAGTCCAATCAACCAACAAGCATCTATATTCTAAAGTCATCTCAGTCGATACCCCAATTTTTTATATTGACTTAAAAGTTCAACTCTTTCAAAATGATTTTTTAACTAACTTATTTAAAATAATAATAATAATAATATAATGTAATTTTAAAATAAACATAGTCAACGATTCATATATTAAATAATTAAATATCAAAATAATTAAATTTATATTTACTGTAATTTAAGTAATAATTTACTTACATTATAATACTTATTAACTTTTAGTAAATTCTTATTTGCATTAGCTAAATAATTAACTGAGATGAAACATTTTTTTAGTAATTAAGCAGAACAAATGAATTTTTTTAATTTTTTAAACTTGTGGCAATATAAGGAAAAGAAATCAACTTACAATATATTTTTGGAATTTGCATTTGTCATTTAACATGACACAACAAACTTTCTTACACACACGACATTTTGTGGGGCTTACACTTTTTAAAGAAAAAAAAAATTACGACACGCAAAACGAATCTCTATAACATTACACAATCACTTTTCCTACAACATAACTCTTATAAAACCCTATATTTTTTGGGATAAGTTATCTTAACTATCTTTTTTTAATGCCTACCTTACCTATCACTCTCCAACCTCGTTAAATCAGAATATCAAGAAAACAGAGAAATGATAAAAGTTAGTTAAGATTTTAATGTAACGGTGTTGGAAAGTGGTAAATAAAGTATATATGAAAAAAAAGATAGATAGAATAACATATCCCATATTTTTATTATAATAACATTTATGCAATAAATTTTTTAAATTCGGGGAAATTTTAACCATATTTGTAAATAAAATATATTCATTTCATTCCTCTTGCATCTCTTGCTTTCAAGTTCTCTTAGTTTCTATGTAACTCAATCAGGAAGGAGATGTAGTCATGTAGATACGGATAAGGTCGTGAAATCAATCCCGATGGCTGGATGACTCCTTCATCCTTAGACTGCAAGACTCAGGCCAACGAGACGGAACCACAGTGGCATGATAGGCTGGTTCTAACTAGAGTCAATCCTCTCACAAAATTTGAGTGTTCCTCCATTAATACTTGATGGCTAAACATGCACTACAATTATGATTTAATGTCTGAATAATCACCTTAATAAATGCTATTTATCTCATTATTATGGAATATTTATAGAGAGGTGAATGATCTTTCACCTCAAATATATAAAGATAAGAAAATCTTTGTAAAATGTTACAAAGAGACTTTGTGTAAAAATTCTCTGAAGAGAAGGTAGAACTTTGTAACCACCATTGTTAATGGAGTTTGAGTGTATCACTAGTGTAATTAGAGAAACTTAAATCTTTGTAATCAAGATTATTCTAGACTAGATCCCCTTATTTTTACTCCTCTGCGTTACGAAATTTTAAATTTTTTTCATGTTAAAACTTGTGTGTGTTTACCCCTTCATCTAAGCTTTTCTCTATTTTTGCATTTTTGTGTTAGTGTGTTTGACTGACTTGTTGACTTCCGGATGACCTTCAAGTGCTCGGATGGTACTCCACTCGATGACTTGTGAATCGCTTTCGTGCTTATTGAAGGACCCCATCCCAACATTTCTAACCTCACTCTGCTTGGGAGCTGAGCCTATGTTAGTGACATGGGCACCCCCAATGGGTTTCTTAGTGAAACACATCTAGGTGAGGTTTGGTAGGCTAGCATATAGCTATTCTATCACACAGGGATCCAGAATGGAGCAACTGAGGGTGAAGTGGAATATCAAGCAGCCTCATGTAGGTAACCAAACCTGCTTCGGATAAAAGAAAAAGAACTTATACGAATCCGTTCACTAAGATATCTGTGTTGATATCTACTTTGTTGAAAGTCTTCTTGTTTAGTGGTTGGCAACTATGCTTCCTAGATACAATGGAGCACGTATATAAAATCAATGTGAACTATGTAATTAGATTTATAGCTAAGAGTGAAGATCCTATATTATAATCGTTGCCATTATAATGAAGTGATGAGTGCCTTTCGAAAATATTTCCTAATTTTGTGAGAATCTTTATGTACCGAGCGATTGAGGTGAGACCATGGTAGTTAAAATCTGGATTTAAATCTTAAAATTCCGATTTTAACAATTTATTTTTGCTAAAACGATTTAAATTTCACTTAAAATCCTTTCCAATATAAAATCCTGATTTAGATATTTACTTAAGTCCCGATTTTAAGATTTAAATCCCGATTTTAACTATTGGAATGATGTTAAGCAAGTTAGAAAAATTGTTGAATATAACATTGCTGATGTTTCATCCGAAGATAAATGGATGGTGGAAAATAAAGGAACTTTATCTCATGATGAAAGTTTAGATGAATACAATTTTGAATGATGTAGTTGAAGATCACGTGGAACAAAATGTCTTCGATGATAATAACGATAATAACTTGAATGCTTTATTAGCTTAAACCCTTAGAGTGTGACAATTGTATGCAAATGTATAAGGATGGTGGCAAGTAGTCTATCTTTTCTTAAAAAAATTTATACATAAGCATATGTATATATAAATTTAATTTTAGAGTGCAGGTAAAATCTACGATTTGTATTACGATTTACGATTTTTTATTTCCTTTCTGATTTTAGGTAAAATCTCGATTTTGACTACCTTGGGTGGGACATAGAGAATCGAATTAGTTCTGAAGCCCAATATAATGATCCATTTCAATATCCAACCTCAAAACTTAGTATTAATTTTAAATTAACACTTAACTAATCTTTAAAGCAGTAGGAATGTTAATACATTTTGATATATATTTTTAATACACTTTTTTTTGGGTGGACTAATACATTTTTATTATTGAATGATTTTATTTTTTTTGGTAAAACTATTATTGAATGATTTAATTGCAAATCTCACTAAATAAGAGATAAACATAAACTATTAAACGAGATTCACATATGCTATATGTTATTCTTATACTAGTATTAGAATAAGAAATTTTACACTAAATTTTGGTTATTGTTTTATTTGTATTAAACGGCTCAAATATTTAATAAATTAAATCCATTAAATATAAATAAGATCAATAATTAAAATAAAAATTGTAATTTATACCAGTATAAAATATACTAATCTCGCAAATATAACTTATTTGATAACAAATTAAATAATATTTTAAAAAAAGCAAAAAAAAATTCTAACATTTCCACTATACTTTATTCTTACGCAAGGAATCCTCATCATTAACTCTGACAAATTCAATTTAATAATCATTTACTCTTCAAATTCTAACAAACCAATAACAAGATAGATGCAATTTAAACTTGGGATAGGATATTGTAATAACCAAGTAGTGTTACCACCAATGTCACTACCAATCAATTTCACCGCTAGATCGATTATGTTAATCCAACGGTTATATTTATTTCCATCTTTGTATGGTTATGATTTCCCATATTTAAAGTGAAAGCATTAAATATAAGAAATCATAACCATACAAAGGTGAAAATAAATATAAAGTATTAAATATGGAGAATCATAACCATACAAAGATGAAAATAAATATAACCGTTGGATCAACATAATCGATCTAACGGTGAAATTGATTGGTAGTAACATTGATAGTAACACTACTTGGTTGTTACAATATCCTATCCCATAATATAATAATAATAACAATGATTATTGTTATTATTATTGTTTTCTTTTAAATATATGACACTAGATTGTTATTTCACAGGTCCTATAACAGGTGCTCACACACACACACACACAAATACACAGGCAATTCTCTGAATATGTCTCTATTCTATTATTGATTCTACCAAAGCCATTTTACAAGACTTACAATGTGCTATTTATAAGCAGTAGCAAATGATTAAGAGTGATAATGACTAACATAGAAAATCTAAACATATTAATTATCCACTAACAGATACCTAGGGACACACCTCTTCACCATAAACCTTTCATTTTCTATTTTTCTTTTATTTAATTTAAACTTATCCCAACAAAACTCTCTCATAAGCTTTAAATTCTTCGACCATCCTTCATCACAATCTTCTTCTTGAAATTTTCTAACAGCAACGTTGGCAACGACTTCGTAAATATGTCACCCACTTGATCTCGGCTTGCAACATGAGTGAGCTCCACCTTTCCTTCCTTAACTTGATCCCGGATGAAATGAAACCTGACATCAATATGCTTACTCTCTCATGGTTGACCGGGTTTTTTGCTAACTCGATTGCAGACTTGTTGTCAACCCGGATCTCGGTTGGGTCGACTTGTTCTTGCTCCAATTTGCTCAATAGATTCCTCAGCCACATTGCGTGACAAACAGACCAGGATGCAGCAACGTACTCAGCTTCGCATGTAGATAGAGTCACAATGGGTTCCTTCTTTGACACCCACATGAATGCCGGGTTTCCCATGAAAAACACATAGCCAGTTGTGCTCTTCCTGTCATCAACATCTCCACACCAGTCGCTATCTGAATATCCCACCAGCTTGTACTTATCTGACTTCGAATAATGAAGTCTTTGCGAGATTGTTCCTTGATCATATCTCAATATCCTCTTTGTTGCCTTCCAATGTGTGTAGCTCGGATCTTCCATGAACCGGCTTATAATCCCAACACTTAGACACAAGTCTGGCCTCGTACAAGTTAAATACCTCAAACATCCTACTAGACTCCGGTAATTACCCGGATCAACTCTTTCTCCTCCATCATACTTCGAAAGTTTTAAGCCGGGTTCCATAGGAGTTGAAACCGGATTGCAATCTATCATTTTGAACCAAAACTTTAAGATATCTTTTGCATAAGCTTCTTGAGATACGAAGATCCCGGATTTGTCTTGTCTGATTTCCAGACCAAGGAAGTATCTCATCAGACCGAGATCTGTCATCTCGAACTCTTTTGTCATTTTCTTCTTAAAGTCTTGTATCATCCCTTCATCATTTCCCAAGAGGATTAGATCATCAACATATAAAGCAACTAGTAAAATATTACCTTCTGTCTTCTTCACATACAGGGCATGTTCATATGGACATTGCTCAACTCCGTCCTTCTTGAAATAAGAGTCAATACGGGTATTCCAAGCCCGCGGTGCCTGCTTCAGCCCATACAAAGCTTTCTTCAGCCTTAACACTTTTCTTTCTTGTTCGACTTTCATAAAATCCGGAGGTTGTTTGAGATATACATCCTCCTCAAGTACACCGTGTAAGAACGCCGATTTCACATCCATTTGATAGATCGGCCATCCAAGATGGGTTGCATGTGAGATCAACAACTTGATTGATTCCATCCTCACTACGGGTGCAAACACCTCGTCATAGTCTATTCCATCTTTCTGCTTGTACTCCTTTGCTACTAGCCGGGCTTTGAATCGCTCAATCTCCCCTTTAGCATTCATCTTCTTCTTATATACCTACTTCACACTGATGGACCGACTTCCTTTTGGTAGCTCGACTAACTCCCATGTCTTATTCCGCTCAATAGCTTTTATCTCTTCTTCCATGGCAGATTGCCATTTTTCATTTCAGACAGCTTCCTCAAAGCTCAAATCCTCAGAATCTGTTAACAAGCAAACGAGATGTGCTTCGTTAGTTGAGTCATACAAGTCTTGCAAGCTTCTCATTCTCGGTTGTCTCTGCTCTTTTTCATCATCAGAGACTTCAGGATTTGCCGGGATATGGCTCGAAGGTTGTCCGACCTCAATTGATATATTTCCGAGTTCCACATTGATCCCGGATGTACTATTCCAGTCCCATTCATCTTCCTCATTCACTTTCACATCTCGGCTTACCAACACTCTTTTATTGATGGGATCCAACAACTTGTATCCCTTCGTCTTCTCATCATATCCAATAAACACAAACTTCTTACTCTTATCTTCAAGCTTCGTTCTGAGTTGGTCTGGTATGTGTGCATACGCAACACTACCAAAAATCTTGAAATGTGCCACTGATGTCTTTAGACCACTCCATGCTTCCTGTGAGGTTTTATCATTCACACTTGAATGCGGACATCTATTATGCACGTACACAACATATTGTACGGCTTCTCCCCAAAACTCCTTAGGCATATTCTTAGTCTTTAACATAGAACGCACCATATCCAAGATAGTCCGGTTCTTTCTTTCAGCAACTCTGTTTTGTTGTGGTGTTTACGGCGCGGTCAGGAACCGTCTTATCCCATGTTCTTCACAATACCTTTTAAAGGCAGTTGAAATGTACTCGCCACCTTGGTCAGAACGGACCGACTTGATGTATCTCCCGGTTGCATTTTCTATCATTACTTTAAACCTCTTAAAGGCCTCTAGCACTTCGGATTTTTCCTTTAGAAAATATACCCAAGTTTTACGGCTGAAATTATCAATAAACGAAATAAAGTATCTCTTTCCACTTAAGGACCCCAGAGTTATGGGTCCACACAGGTCGGTATGTATTAACTCCAGAGGCTGCTTAGCCCGGTATCTTGCCATCCTTTGGAACGGGCTTCTTGCGTGCTTACCCAGCACACAGTCTTCACAGAACTTTCTTTCAGAATTTATCTTTGGCAGTCACACTACCATGTTCTTCTTCATCTGCTCGGCTAGACCACCGTAATGAAGGTGTCCAAACCGTCGATGCCACAAAGACATCTTATCCTCCACCTCGGCTTGCAGACAGCCGACCTCCATGCTCCTCAAACTCAGCTTGTACATTCTGTTCTTTTCCATCTGAACTTGGGCTATCAGACGCCCTTGTTTATCTTTCAATATTAGAACTCGGTCTGTCATTAGAATCGAGTAACCTTTCTCCATCAACTGTCCAATGCTCAAAATGTTACTTTTGAGCTCGGGCACATAGTACACATCCCGAATTGTTCCAACCCGTCCATCCTTTTGTAGAAAACAGACCGTACCACGGCCTTTCACATCAATTTTGGACGCGTCTCCAAAAGAGACATGTCCGGCTTCCACCGTTCTCAACTCTTTGAACAAATGTTTGTAACCACACATGTGATTACTGGCACCAGTATCCAAGTACCACTCTGTCTCACTCTTCGAGCTAGTTTCACCATGTGCTAACATCAGAACTCCTCCATATCTTATTTCTCCTTCTGCAGCGAAGTTTGAAGTCTCGTCAACTTTTCTTTCATCTCGACAATCTTTAGCAAAATGCCCAACTCGGCCACAGTTGTAGCATCTGTCCGAGTTGCAATCTTTTGCGTAGTGACCATACTTGCCACACTTATAACATTCTATATTACTTTGATTCGACCACCGGCCTCTTCCACCTTGGCCATGTCCTCTACCTCTCCAGTTTTGCTGACTCATCTCAACTATTTCTTCATGTTTCACCTCCTGACCTCGGCCACGACCACATCGGCCATTTCCACGTCCACCTCGTCCACGACCTCTACCTCGAACATTCTGAGAGTACAGCACATTTTCATCCTTAATTGTTGCTTTTGTCTGGAGTGCTTGCTCAAGAGACTCCTCCTTCTTTTTCTTCTTGCGCTACTCATGCGCTTTAAGAGAACCAGCTAGCTCTTCAGCAGAAAGCGTAGCCAAGTCCTTAGACTCCTCAATTGCACATAGCACGTTTTCGAAGTCGTCTGTCAACGACCTCACAATCTTTTCAACAACTCTGGAGTCCGTTAACACCTCTCAATTCTGTTTCAACTGGTTCACCACGGTCTGAACCCTGGTGATGAAGTCCGACACTCCTTCGGTTTCCTTCATCTTCATCCCCTCCAACTCTCCTCGAAGAGTTTGAAGTCTGACCTGCTTCACACGGTCTGCGCCTTTGTAGATCGTCTATAATATATCCCAGGCCTCTTTTGCCGTTGTTGCGCCTCCAATCTTTTCAAGACCACCGCTTTCTTCAACAGCTTGAAACATCATAAAGAGTGCCGCTGCATCCTTTGTTCTCGTCGCACTCAACTGCTTGAGTTGATTTGCTGAATATCCTTTCGTTGTTTCAGGTTCTAGGAACCCATTTTACACCAACCCCCAACTGTCATAGGCTCTTAGAAGAGCCTTCATTTGGATGCTCCAATTTTCATAGTTCACCTTTGTCAGGCGGGGCACTGGCAGACTATTACTCATATTCTCCATTGGCTCAAGCTCTGATACCAATTTGTTATTTCACAGGTCCTATAATTGGTGCTCACACACACAAATACACAGACAATTCTCTGAATATGCCTCTATTCTATTACTGATTCTACCAAAGCCATTTTACAAGACTTACAATGTGCTATTTATAAGCAATAGCAAATGATTAAGAGTGATAATGACTAACATAGGCAATCTAAACATATTAATTGTCCATTAACAGATACCTAGGGACACACCTCTTCACCATAAACCTTTCATTTTCTATTTTTATTTAATTTAATTTAAACTTATCCCAACATAGATGAGATTAAGTGTGCATTTGGATGAGCTTGTTGCCATCCAGAAGCTGTTTTTTATTATAAAAAAAAGTGCTTTTAGAAATTTTAACTTATTTGGATGTGAGCTTTTAATAAAAGCAAAAGCAAGTTAAAAAGTTAAAATTTAACTTTTTCAAAAGTTAAAAATTTTAACTTTTGAAATAAGCAGAAGCCAAAAGCAATTAAAAAATTTTCCTTACCAATTTTATCCATCTCTCTTCGAGGATCCATCTCAGCCGGGAGCAGCGTTCTTGTTCTCCTTTTTTTTTCTCTTCTCCCAACTTTCCATTCCTTCACCTCCACTACTTCTGCTCTGTTTGTGTGAATCACTATTTTTGTTCTTACTTTCATTTTCTCTTACTTCCATTTTTTATTCTCTCTCTTCATTCCTGCTATTCTCTCTTTCCCTTCCATTAGTTTTCATTTTTTTTTCATTTCCTTAGTTGCCTCTCTCTTCCTTAATGCTATTGTTAAGATTTGTGTGAATCGATCTATGGTGTTTTGCTTTTTGTAGTTTTATGATTTGAAGGTTCCAGGTGATTTTTTGCAGTTTTGTGATTTGAAAGGGGTGTTCTGTTTATACGAATAGGCTTTAATTTTTTGAAGAGAAAACCCTAAATTCTCATAAGTCATTGTTGTTTGCTTCTTCAATCTAAGTGTGTCAAAGAAAAAGAAAAAAGGGACACAATAGTAATTTTATATTTAAAAGTACTTTTTTATTTTAACATCCAAATAACATTCTTACTTAAAAGCAATTTTTAAATATTACATCCAAATGCAAAATAACTTTAACTTTTTTTAAAAAAATTCTTTTAATTAAAAGTAACTCGTAAAAAATTCTTTTTTCAAAAGTCCATCCAAACGGACTTTAAAAACATACGAGTTTTTTTCATTTAAAAACATATCATAATGATCCCAAAGCTCCTTAGAATGCGTAAGGCATTATTATTGCAAGTATTATAGGAATCCCGTGTTATTCCTAGTTTCCTACGGTTATAAAAGTATTTTTAGTGTATATTTATATTTATTGAAACCAAAACCCGCCACCTATCGCACTAACTATTAGTAATTTTCATAACGTCATAATGCCATCAAACTCATCCATGCCATTGAAGATGCCATAATTAATGTTTGAAAATAAGTATGTCCGATAAATTAATTAAAAGACAAATATTCACCATATAACAAGAAGTAACTATATAATTCTCATAAGAACTTCGTTTGAGACAAATCGATGTACATTAAGAAGTAAGACAAAGGATAATAGAAGAACATTAAGAAGCAGCATTCTAAAACGAGACTGAAACTGCTCTCAGAAGAAGTCCTTGATTTTGTTATCAACCACCATAGAACAAAGCACATTATAGGCCTCTTCTGTAGGGTGGTAACTGTCCCAGAATATATAATTTGAGGAGTTTGAACATGTGTTTAGGCTATAACGGTTGCACAATATGCTTACTTCTATATTTCCAGTGCCACAGCATCCCTTGTCTGGTACTTCAAAACCTAAACCACCAAATACCATGAGCAATGAATCAGAGAGATGAAAATGTGCTAGTCAAAAGGCATGGGAGTGGGACTAGTCAAGATGGTGATACCCCAGGCACATGAGAATCCTATTCTATTTGATGTTTTAGTTGGGAGTTCAGGACATTTTCATGCTAATTTGTAAGTCCCATGTGAAGTGCATTAAGGAGCCACTAAGTAACAAAAACAACTCGACAATTATATGAACATGCAGATGAATTTGACGTGACTTGTTACTAATTTCCTTTTATGTGAAAAAGTCTATGAATAAATGTCAACTTTTTATGCTGGGTTGTGATTCATGAAATCGTTCAGAAAGGTATAACGGTCCAACATATTGATCTACCTATAAAAGGTATATGATGGGAATGAATGTGTCTGATTACCATATTTAGCAGGGTTTTGAATAATATACAGTAACGGGTTGTAAATATCAAGATAGACGAGCCTAGTCTCTGGAAACATTTTTTTAAGGGCATCCATTTGAGAGACGAGTTTGGTGTTGAAGAGGAATGCTGCTTGGTTCTCAGAATCTGAACACGCTCTCTGTATGCCACCAGCAATTGTTCTCTGTGAGGGCACACACCCTATAGGCGGCAAACCAATTACTCCAATCCTCCTAGCTCCTAGTCCATAAAGTTCCTGCATTCAATTCATTTATATATATATATATATATATATGTGTGAGTAAAAACAGTATACAAAGATATATAGAATAAAGTTCTAAGAATGGTAATCGAATTCAATAGTCTAAACCAAAATGTTCGTTTGGTCATGTGGTTGACATGGATGTAGACAGCAGAAACATTCAAATAGTATAATACATGTTTGATACTATTAAGTACATGCACCCCTTTGCGAAGAATTGGCTTGTTAGCTACCCTTAACATAAATTGCCAACTATTAGTGTTGGGGTAACAGCTACATGTGCTTTGATTGAAAAGTTATGATAATTTTGCTCTTTAATTGCTTAGGAAAGTGTTCACACGATGATGCTCAGCAGAGAAAGATGCTAGTTTCTAACTTCCCGCTTTGGATTGTTTAACAGAACGTACCTGCAAGAACTTTGAGGCTTGTGAAGCCATGAAGTCCGTGTATGATGGAATGTCGTATTCTGCTCGCCGAATTGGTATTTGAGTATAAGTATTGGCAATGTCATCACTTCCAATGCACACTATGTATACACTCTTGGACATTATTATTGTCATTCTTTCTTCTCCAACTGCTTCCCTTATCTTCTTTTTGTACTCCCTGAACATGTCCAATTGATCTGATAATGATATCACAGACTTATGTGACAAAGATAAAGTAAAATACAGTTAGTTTTTAAGATATGCTAGTGAAAATTATAGCTTGAAGACATGTGCTTATAAGGCTTTAGGGGTAGTTATTAACTGCTATTTGAGAAGTAAGAGGATCATATCCAGCACCACCGGAGGCAAAGCTTACGCCTGTGAGGAGATCTTGAACTTGCAGATTGGGATCAAGATAAGCTGGTAAAATCTTCTTGACTCCAAATTTTGCAGCTGAAAAAGAGCAAATGAAATTTGTTTAGAAATTTAGCCAGAACATGTTCATTAAGTTCTATATCTGTTTGTACACATGGTAACATAGTGAAGGAGCAACATTTTTATACCAATGATGTCTGATGGGACTAAACCATTGCTGAACCTCCCGGTTGGTCGATTTCCTCCAGCAAAATCTCTACCATATGGTGGGAAATTGCATTTAACAATAGTGCTGATGTAGTTGTTATTACCCGGATCCACTATAGAGTCCCCAAACACAATGAGTGCTGGGACAGTTTCATTGTTTGGTAGAGTCACAGCACAAACACTTAGTTGAAAGATTATGGCTATGGCAAAACACCTATTAATGACTAAAGGCCATTGAAAGAGAAACTCCATGTTTTTATGACTAATAGTGCTCTGCTTTTCTTTTATAAAGAACCTAATGACTGTTTGTTAATATGAATACATTTTGAGTTTGGTGCAAGCTACTTATAGCAAAGCCAGACTAAATTTTTAATTAGTATCTCTTTGGAAATCATGCTTTTCTCGTAACAAAAAGATTTACGAAGGAGAATTAATTATATGATACATCTGTTGTGGTACCAAACCCATAAATAATATTGTTAATTGTTAGAAGAATATTGACTGAATCTCATGCCAAATCTAATCATCAATGAGGAAATGCTACGCCACAGAAAAAAAAAATAAAAAATAAGGAATTTGATTAAGACATTCAATGCTATATTGTACTTAAAAGATATTCAATAAATTAATACTCTGCAATGCATAATTTTTACCCTTCGCGTGAGGCCTTCAAGAACTAGAAACAAAAAACACAAAAATGAATGAGATAGTCAATACATTTCAAATAAATGTGAACTTGTGTTTCATTCATGCATGTTCTCTTTTTACGGGCGTATATTTGCAGAAAGCAACTGAAATTCACGTATGTATAGGCCAGGGCTGGCAAGTGGCAACTATTGTATGCCATCACATTTATATGTGTGTGTTTTTATTGTTAAGATGAGGAGGCTTGAATGAGACCCTAAGCAGAAAACTGTTCTTCATTATTACATGCACATCTAGACATCAATTATTGACAATGACAAAACAAAATGTGGCCAGTGATATAAATTCTTTCTACTCAGAGAGAGAGAAATAAGGAATAAAATATACTCAACGTCGTTGTCTAATCATTAAGATATCGTTTTGGTACCCAAAAATTCAGATTTAATTTAGTCTTTCATAATGTAAAATAATTATCAGGAATAAATTGATGTCTAAAAATATTCTAAAACACTAAACTGATCATATCCATTTTAAATGTTGAGAAACTAAATAAATTCCTATATTATTTTTTGAAAAACCAAATTAATGGGCACATGTTTCTTTTTTAAACTAGATAATATAATATAAAGTAACATAGTTTCTATGTGTACCTGAATATTATTTTGTCCCCTTTTATTATTTTTTCTTGTTAGGTTATGCAAAGGATTGATATTTTTTTATTGTTTCCTGCTCTTATTAGTAATTAAAATTGTTTTAAAATTAAGTCATGCAAAAAAGAACATACAGATATAATATTACCTGTAATTTGTTAGGATATGTATAACTGAGTCCTATTGTAATTAGGTGTAGTTATTTATCTTAACAAACTACAGGTTACAACATATCACAGCAAATCATAACAACATATAGAATCTTCTATTCCAACAAATATAATTTAATTAATTTAGCCAATTTGCTTGTATCTATGATCTATTTTTAACGGTCATATATATGAATATGACACAATTTCTCTACACATGCATTTGCCAATTTCCCAATGAATTTCCTTTCGGCTTTTTTCTTTTCCTCTTTCACATCACAGTATGGAGACCGATACAACACTCTAAGGCTGGATATTCAAGTACAACTTGACTCCACCATCCCTTGTCTTTAATTCACTCGCAACTCTCGCAAACAACCACTCAACTCAAAATCTTAATGTGTTGGGTGATGATCTTTTTAATGATTTATATTATATTCTCTAACACACTTCCTCACGCAAGAATGGTGGATATTACACAGGCCCAAATTTTGGTTTACCTTTTGTGCTTTTTTATTTTAATTCCACTTTAAAGTGATGGCGGTGAGGATCGAACTTGTGACCTTGTAGTCACTCAAGCTCTGATACCATGTAAAGAATCACTTCAACCCAAAACCTTAAGGTCACAAGTTCTCAAGTTTTGGGTTGAAGTGGTTCTTTACATGGTATCAGAGCTTAAGTGACTACAAGGTCACAAGTTCGATCCTCAGTGCCCTCCACTTTAAAGTGGAATTAAAACAAAAAACACAAAAAGGTAAACCAAAGATTGGGTCTGTGCAATATCCATACCTCTAGCCCAATGGACTCTCGTGTGAGGGAGCGTGTTGAGATATATAATCTCACATTGGTTGTATGTGCAACTAATGTGGCATTTATAAGGCATTGGGCACTTCCACCCTTTGAGCTAGCTTTTGAAGTGGTGTATCTCAAGGTTCTTAACATGGTATCAGAGCTTCAGGGACCATGAGGTCACAGGTTCGATTCTCACCACCCCACTTTTAGGTGGAATTAAGAAAAGCACAAGGCAGACAAAAAAGATGGGCTTATGCAGCACAAGACAAATCAAAAATGGGCTTGTGCCATATCTACGCTTCAAGCCCAAAGGGCTCTTGCGTGAGGGGATGTGTTACAGAATAAAATATAAAGTATTAAAAAGAGCATCACTTATTGCCTTAAGGTTTTGGGTTGAAATGGTTCTTAACAACAACGCTTACCCTAACCCGAGTCGGTATTCCATTTGATTCCCTATTCAGTTTTTTCTTTCTTTCTTCAGTACATGGTTTCAATACAATGTTGGAAATCGACAACACACCCAATTCCGAAAACAAAAAGAGGAAGGGGAGAAAAATTTAGAACGAGGTTTATCCTAATTCACCCAGTATAAGCTATACGTTTAGTTTATTTGTACTATATTCATTTCACCGTCATTCATTACAAAGCACTCAGTTTATTCTGGTTCATCCAATATAGATTACGTATAATTGACTAATTAATTTTTTGTTGTTCCCGCCAACAAAAATCTTCATCTAAATATGAAATATTAGTCATATCCAACATACAAAGCCCAATCACCCAACAATAATATTTATTTAATTATTGTTTGCCTCATTAAAATTAATTTTTTAACTAATATATTTACTTAAATAATAATAATAATATAATGTTATTTTATAATAAGCATAGTCAACTATTCATAACTTTTTTATTTTACTTCATATATCAATTAATTAAATATCACAATAATATAATTAATATTTTACTTACAGTTAACTAATAAATTACTTACATTATAATACTTATTATCTCCTAGTAAAATCTTAATTGCATTAGCTAAATACTTAACTGATATGAAACATTTTTTAGTAAGCTGAAGAAATGGATATTTTTGTATACATTTTTTCAAACTTGTGGCAAAATGAGGAAGAAAATCAACTTACAATATGTTTTTATTTTAATTTAATTTATGCAGTGCAGTAATTTTCAAAATAAAAGAAAAAGAACTTATATATGAATCCGTTCACTAAGATATCTATGCTGATATCAATTTTATTGAGAATTCTTGTTTGGAGGTTGGCCATGTTTCGTGGTTACAATGGAATTTGTACCAGTAAAAATTTCGACGTTCAAATAATTATAAAATAAATGTGAAATATACAATTAGGGTTAAAATCATAGTTAAGAGTGAAGATACTATAATTACAGAGAAATGAAAAAAGAATCATCATAGCTATTATGATGAAATGATGAGTGCCTTTCAGAAAATATTTCCTAATTTTGTGAGATTTTTTATGTACTAAGTGAGGTGGGACCTAAAGAATTGGGTTAGATGTGAGGCCCAATGTAACGATCCATACCAAAATTCAACCTGTAAAACTTAATTTTAAATTAAGAAAAAATATGTGTCATTTTAAATGACACACCTTATATCTTTTCACTCTTATAAAGAGGTGGGACTCATATTTTTTTAAAAAAATTCTCTTACTTTCTCGTTCATGATTTATCTCTCACTCTTACTCAAAATGACACAACTTTATATTCTTTGAAACGATACACACTTTTCCCTTTAAATTAATAGTCAACCAATCTTTGTACTTTAAAGGACCATTAATACATTTTGATATATATTTTTAATACATTTGTATTACTGAATAAATTTTATTATAAATTTCACTAAATAAGAGACAAACATAAATTATTAAACGAGATTCATATATAACACTCAACTTTATTCTTAGGCAATGAATCCTCTTCTGTTGCCAAATTAAATTTAATAATCATTTAATCCTCAAATTCTAACAAACCAATAACAAGATCGATATACAAGTTGTTAAAGGACAACAAAATCTCGGTCCTTCCTGCATTATCGAAATTCGAAAACATTCTTTTAGTGCAAACAAACTAATGAGCAAAGTGGAAACCAATGACACTAACAAGTCAAGAAGCTCAACAGATACAGAACGGTTACGTGCAGAATGGAACCATTCACATTCAGGACATGCTCACATGACACATATATCACATAACTATGCAAGCATTTGGGTTCTCGTCGCTGAAGGCCGTGGTGTACTTCACCTCAAAGGAACTCGCACGTGCAAGTGCCGAAGCTTCCGGATCCTGCAGCACGTTGCGCACGTACCCAGGCGGTGCCTTCTTGTCGTAGGCTTCCGGTGCGTAAGGGCGCGGAACGACATCGTAGGGGACATAGGGCCAGAACTCCACCTTCTTCCCGGTGCGTTGACCCACGCGCTTCAACACTTTGTGTGGGTCCACAAAACCAGTGACAGTGAGCTTGCTTTGCTTTGGTTCCACTTCCACCTGCGTCACACCTTTCATGCCTTCCACTGATTTCTTCACTCTTCTCTCGCATCCTTCGCAATCCATCTTCACCTTTATCTCCACCGTCTGATTAATCATCATCGTCGCAAAGATTTATATTATAGTATATATATCTACGCAATTTCAATTATTAAATATTTGTAGAAAAGTTGGTGCAACAATAATGTTATAACTCAGTACCCTCACCGTTGTTATCAACAATATACAAATATTACATAATTCTGTTTAGTAAGAAGAATGATTTTGAAATTGAAAGCAATAAATGAGCAAGAAGTTTTACCTGAAGTTGCTTGCGTTTGATGAGCTTGCTACCGTCGTGCATGCGACAGGATTCACAGTGCTCCAAAATGCTATCAAGGACACCCATAATATTAGTGTATGTTATTGTAGTTAAGAAATACAACGTTGCAGAGCTAATCCAACTTTTTTGTAACTCGAACAGATATATATGTTTACGATGTGCGTGTAAGGGATGCAAGATATGACATATGAATGTGCGAAATTGGACGTGGATAACTAGGTAAGAAACACTTTATGACAACATATGAGAGAACGCAAGAATCAATATGATGGCAATGTACGCAGGGCAGGATCCATAAACATTGCGGCATGGTTTTCGCTAGAAGTTTCTAGTGCAGCGCTGGTGGGACACATCCAACGGTGGGGGAATGCTGACTCAGCCTACCCATTTTGGACTTTGCACAAAGAAAAGTGGACGAATGTACTATGTAGAACACTCCAGTGGAAGAATTCTGGAAAACGTACTGTGACATTTTTTCAAAGCACAATTTACATACATTTATTTTAAATTTTTAGCAATTTTTTTATAAGAAGGTTATACTTATAATTTTTTTTTTTTTACAACTTGTTTTTTATAACTTCTTACAATCATATCTTAATATCGTTATTTTCGTCAATCAACGATTATCATTTATTGTGAATTAATAATTAATTAATGAATTTAATTTACAAAAATAATAACCGTTGATTGACGGAAATCAACATTGTTAAGATATGGTTATAAGATATTGTAAAAAAAAATTGTAACTATAACTTTCCTCATTTTTTTATGCTAAAACAAATATGCTATATAATATTTGAAATGTGGGTAGGCGGTGTCAAGGGGGAATAAACAGCCACCGGTGGTGGTAGATTACAGTAGCTATGGGAGAATGTGGTGTGTTTAATTAGGGCTGTGCATGGGTCAGGTCGGGTCAGGTTTTTGTCCGACTCGACTCAACTTGGTTTTTATAGTTCAGGTATTTTGACCCGCCTCGCTTTAATTTGATCCAAGTCAGGTCTGACTTGGATTGGATTTTGTTGAACTAGTTCAGAACCAGTTTGGATCTGACCTGACTTGAAGTGGGTCTGACTTGGTTTCTGAACTGGGTCAAATCTGACCTGACCCGTTTTTGACTTGGTTTTCTCACAAAATTTTGTCGAAATTTTTACGTTGCAAAAGACGAAAATTTCGTCACAAAATTATTTTTTCGTCGAAATTTTTACAAAAAAAAAATTTTTCTATTGAAATTTAGTTTCCGTCAACAGTTTTGACGAAAATGATTTCTTCCATCAAATGTTTTAAACGAAAAAAGAATTTTGTCAAAAAATTTAACGGAATGTTTTTCGGTCAAAATTTCGATGGGAATGTGTTCTAACGAAAATTTTGACGAAAATTATTTCGAGGGAAATGTTTCATTTGAAACTTTCGACGAAATTTAGATTCTCTAAAGAATTTTGACAGAATATTTTTTTCGTCAAAATGTTTTTTTTGTCAAAAAAATTTACGGAATTTTTTTATAGAAATGTGTTTCGTTGAAAATTTTGATGGAAATTTTTTATCAAAAAACTTGACGAAAATATTTAGTTGAAAATTTTCGATGGAAATGTGTTTTGCTAAAAATTTCGACGAAAATTTTTTTTGGTCAAAAAATTTAACGAAAATTTTTCGTCGAAAACTTTCGCCGAAATTTGAAATCTGTAAAGAATTTTGATGAATATTTTTGCTGTCAAAATTTTTTGATGACGAAAATGTTTCCGTCGAAAACTTTCGCCAAAATTAGAAATCTGTAAAGAATTTTGATGAAATTTTTTGCCGTCAAATTTTTTTGATGACGAAAATATTTCTGCCGAAAACTTTCGCCGAAATTTGAAATCTGTAAAGAATTTTGATGAAATTTTTTGCCGTCGATATTTTTTGCCGTTAAAATTTTTTGATGATGAAAATGTTTCCGTCGAAAATTTTCGCCAAAATTTGAAATCTGTAAAGAATTTTGATGAGATTTTTTGCCGTCGATATTTTTTGCCGTCAAAATTTTTTGATGACGAAAATGTTTCCGTCGAAAACTTTCGCCAAAATTTGAAATCTGTAAAGAATTTTGATGAAATTTTTTGCCGTCAAAATTTTTTGAGGACGAAAATATTTCCGTTGAAAACTTTCGCAGAAATTTGAAATCTGTAAAATATTTATGAAAATATTTTCCATAAAAAATTTTGATGTCATTGTTTTACTTTAAAACTTTTCTTTTAATGTAATTGTGATTTTTTTTTCACATAATGGGTATGGGTCAAGTTTTGGGTCAATGGGTCGATATTAAAACGAGTCAGGTCTAAAACTGACCCAAATAAAAGTGGGTCAGTATTTAAACCAGTTCAAAAAATATGGGTATTTATGGGTCGGGTCAAGGTCGGATCAAGTGAACCAGTTTTTTTGCACAGCCCTATGTTTAATAACAACAAATAAGAAATAGGTTTTCGAACTTTATAGTTTATACACATGAGATAAAGTGGTGGCTAGGGGTAAAACTGGGCCGGACCGGCCTACAGGGGCCTGCGACTCGGCCTACAACAAGCCAGACCTGACCTAGTATATTTCGTAAACTAGGCTGAACTTGGGCGTTGAAAAAACTTATTTAATAAAAAGGTCATAGGCTCAATTTCACAAGGCCTGGCCTATAAGCCTACATGCCGACCTATATTGTACTATTTATTTTAAATAAAATAAAATAGAATAATATACCTTGAAGAAAAAATAAAAGATATAAATTTAATCAATTGTAATTATTTATAACTTAATTATATTCGATTATATTTTAATAGAAATCTAACTTTATTTCTTATGTAGGAGGAACCAACATCTCAGCATGTTAAATTGTGTATATGAATATATTACAAGATTTTTAGAAGAGGTTATACTTACTACAAGCATCATGATGTGTTTGTAATTATTTTAATTTACATAATATGGATTTGTTTGTTGGATCTGATGAAATATATGTTATTTAATTTGAGCATTTTGCTTTTGAAAGTGACTTAAATGCAAATTGTATGAATTTTGTTGTTATTCATGATTCTATTTGGACGTTAAAATTATGATTTTTGGTTTAATAATATAATTTGAGTATTTTGTAAAGTGGATTCATGGTTCTGTTTGGAAGTTAAAAATTAATAGGCTAATGGGCTAGGCCAGGCCATTTGATTTTTTATAAACGGGTCAAATCAGGCTAACAATTAGACTCGTAATAGGCTTGGGTCAGGCCAAATTGAAATTTTTTGACATAGGCTTAGACTTTTCGAGACAAAACTTGGCCCAGCCCAGCTCACTTTCACCCTAGTGGTGGCAAAGCGAGTAACTGAACTTGTCTTGACTTAAAATAACCCAATTTGTTCCACGTCTTGAATGTGGGTTGAAAATTTCAACCCACCCCAGTGCCTATGGATCCTAACCCACTCCACCAACCCACAAATATTAAAAATTATACTCTCGTAAAAGATATCAAATACAGACAAAATATGTATAAAATATATCATTAGTTATTTAAAAATAGGGTTTTATAAGAGTTATGTTGTAGGAAAAGTGATTGTGTAATGTTATAGAGATTCGTTTTGCATGGCTTATTTTTTATTTATTTTTTTGTTTTAAAAAGTGTGGGCCCCACAAAATATTGTGAGTGTAGAAAAGTTTGTTGTGTTATGTTAAAGGATAAAATGAAAACCCTTAAAAATAATAATAAAAAAAAAATCAACCTAACGGGTACATCAATCCATTTTAACCCATCCTTAAACGAAATAAGTTTAAGCGGGTTGATGAGTTAGAACTTCCAACCCAACCCTTTATTTGTGACAAGTTAAACAAACTAACCCGAAGGAGTAGATTCATTTTGCCACCTTTTAACCCTTTATTTATAAAAAAAAAATTTACCAGACAAAGCCTGTTTATAGGATGGGCCCAAGTTCGAACAAAAAGAAAATAATTCAACGAAATAACTCACGTCAATTCACTTTTTCTGAATTATTTGGATGATTTTATACTTTTTATTTTTTTAATGATGAAATTTTGAATAATATCAAGTTTATGTAAGAGTTTTGTTATAATGTTTTTTATTGTTATTTGTTATTAGAGGAAGGTTATACTTACAACTTTTTTCTTATAACTTCTTACAACCATATATCATAACCGTTGATTTCTGTCAATCAACAGTTGTCATTTATTATGAATTAATAATTAATTAATGAGTTTAATTTGCGAAAATCATAACCGTTGATTGACGAAAATCAACGATTATGATATATGATTGTAAGAAGTTATAAAAAAAAAAATTGTAACTATAACCTCTCCCTTGTCATTAACTATTATCTACTTAAGAACAATGATAGAACTATAAAAATTTAAATTGGTGTACTATACACTAGAGTTTTTAGAAGGAGACCCATATTATTATTATAAGGAAAAAATGTGTATTATTTTAAAGGATATAAAGTTGTATCATTTTAAGTGAGAGAAAAAAATAGATAAAGAAAGATGGATCCCACTTCTTTGTAAGAGTGAAATGACATAAGTTGTGTCATTTAAAAGGAGAAACAAATTTCTCTTATTATAATATGTGCATTTATAAGATTATTTTACCTTCAATAAGAAGGCATACTAGAAAAAATATGAATAGCACACAGAGACAGGCTTTTAATAGAGGCGGACATTGTTGATATATCGCCCGCTTTTTTAATTTTAATTTTATATAGATCTAGTCTTTTATTTATAAAAGAAATATTGAATTTAACCTGCCAAACGATGATGCTATATTCCTATGCCTCCTCAATAAATTGGCTATGCTCTTCTTGACCGGGAAGGGCTGTTTTAGCGATATATAAAGTGCACCTCCTAAATTGGGGTGTAGCAGTGCACTATCAAATTCTTACCATTAAATTTGACACAGGTAACGTTTGGTACGAAGTATTTTTCAGAATTTTTGAAAAATTAAAATTTTTTAAATTTTTATTTTTCGAATATTATCATAAACTGAATGTTTTTATCATATTTCTGAAAATCGAGATTTCTTGATAATTTTTTTTTTTTTTTATCCCCTGCCAAACGTCAAATGAAATCAACGGGTTGTGATTGTAGAAAGGATATTTGCCAAGAATGTGCACCCCTAGTGTCAGGCGCATACCGGAGGATACCACCAATCAGGAAAGCTAACTTCTTTAATATTACATGTTAATCAATTTCTAAAATAAAAAAAAATAAAATATTACATGTTAATCCT